ATGTCCTCATACCAGATTATTACCATACTCAAGGCGTTTCAGGTTCCCGGGAAATTTTAAAATCTACAGATATCCCATCACCATCCAAGTATTTCAATCACTTATCAGACATAGTAAATGCCTGTCATTACGAACCGGTCATCAAATCTTCAATGTAAGGAGTAACTGCTTGATCCAAGGATAAATCTGACTGCCATTCTGGGGTCAAGAAGGAATTTTTCCCTAGCTTGTTGCAAATTGGAAGTGCTTCAAACTGGGTTTTTCGCCTTCTTTTGGATCAACCGTTTAAACACATATGTGAGGAAGGCTGAACTTGGTGGACACTAGTCTCTTTTCGGCTATGTATATATGTAATCTAGTTTGTTGAGCCACTATACCTGCTTTCACAGTCTATTTGGTCCCACATATTTCCCGCAGCCACCACATCCATCTTGCAGCATTGTCTCAGGAAGTCTCACCTATTCACGTAGTCTATTGTTTACCTTCTCTACACCACTCTTAGTCTACCCTAGATGGCCAACACGTTTTTTTATATACCTTACTTCCCCTTGCACAATCAAGAGTGCCGGTTAACGTGTCGGGCACCTATTTTCTCACTCGGCATTCACCATACAGCTAGGCAATTAGGTCTTTTTGCTGATTGTTTTATGTTTCTGGTAGGTATCTCTTTTTGCCCTCTTTTATTACAGGCCTACCTCTACGTCGGTTCTGGCACACCTCAACCGACTTACTTCCCCCTTTACTTTTCTATACAGCCTTTTTGCCCCTCACACAAATGTAAAGGCTTGGCCTGCAGTTGTGGGAGGGGCATGTTACCCTACTTAAACCCCCTACTCACCTTCCTCCGTCCCATACGTGTTTTAGCGATTCACATGTCCCCACCCTCCACTCCCTCTAGCTTTACTTTTCATAACACCTCATGGGTGGGCCCGCTTTTATTACAGGCCTACCTCTACGTCGGTTCCGGCACACCTCAACCGACTTACTTCCCCCTTTACTTTTCTATACGGCCTTTTTGCCCCTCACACAATAGTATAATTTCTTGGCAACATTTTATTAGATTTACTCTTCATTTCGTCATTAAAAGGAAACTATAGTGCCAGGAAAACAAGGTTGGCACTATAGCCCCCTATAGTGCTGGATGTCCTCATGCATAGCGTGAGGATGTCCAGCATCAGTTAGACGACCAAATGTTGCATAATGACCTGTAAGTCCCTCTAGTGGCTGTGTTGTAGACAGACACTTGAGGTGCAGTTAACCCTCAAAAGTAATCATTGCATTATTACCTTTATTACATTATTGGAGGGTTAAGGGACCCGGGATATTGCACCCAGACCACTTCAATGAGTCCATTTAATAATGGAATGAACTGATAAACAACATATTGTTCTTTGAAGGATATGGCACATAAACTTCCTTAGGAATGTGTAAGCTTCTTGGATGGTTTTATAGATTCTAGAACATCTGTTTTTTTTCCATTAAAGTTGCTTATGAAATATGTTACTATGAAGCATGTGAGGGCAATGTAAAATAGAGCTTGAAAAACAAAATGCTTGCTTAATTTTCTGTTATATTCTATATTAATATTAGTTTTCCCAGTGGTTTTATAATAACTCCATAATGCTTTGACAGATTTACAGCTAACAAGACAAACTATAAGATTGTTTCATTAATAGTATTTTCTATCCCAAATATCCAGATTCATTTTTTATGCTTCTCTACCAAATTATTCTGTTGCCTTGATATGTTCTTACTTGCAGCCAGATGGTTTCATTCTCTGGGATATCATCACTTGTTATGATCCCCTGGCCATTACAATGCTTCTCATAGTGATGCAAGGCACGTAGGTGTGCATCAACTATGGCACCATCAATTCTCGGAGAAGCCTATACTTCTGCCCTGAGTGAATCCAAGGCGAATGACAAAGTAAATCATCCTGTCTGCTAAACAGCTGTTAGATGTTACCAAGGAGGGATGATAAAAGTGCAGATTCTTCTGTTAACCCGTAAAGCACTTGAGTAAGCGGACATTCGTTAGGGGTTTGGAGTGTTCATTTGAAGGTTAAATGCCACTTCCCATGATTTTTACATTATTATTTACATTTCCCCTGTATTTAGCAAATATGTGTTTGTGATGTCGGAAAAACAAAATTAATCGCAGAAATTGTCTGTCCTTGTAAATCA